TATATATATATATAAGGAAACGGAGCGTAAAAATGAGTAAGAGAAAAGCGGAGAGATAAAGAGAGAGAGAGAGAGAGAGAGAGAGAGAGAGAGAGAGAGAGAGGATGAATACTATTAAGAGTAAAATGAATGGGAAACCGAAGGAAGCCACGGAAAGGGCAATTCTGCCAACAGGGTGTTGTATTTTCAGTTAGGCGTTTGTCTCACCTCTAAAGTGCACAGACCCTCAAAGCTGGCCGGCCTGGAAAATCGCTTTACCGGCCACTGTGTGCACTAAATGCTTTCAGTATGCTGTTCCCAAGCAAAATAGTTCCAAAAGTCACATTCAATGCGTGTTTATCGCCACTTGATCAATCAGTTCCACCATCTTTTTCCGGATTCAATATTTTAAGCTCTATGCGATAGCGCTCGAGCCGTCAGCTGCTCTAATTTTACTGCGGACCACACTATATGCTGTAAGCCACACTACCGAGTGAGTGAAATCACAAAAGGAAAAAAACGCGCTAACTGTGGTTCATTTACATCGTTGTAGCGTTCTTATGCATATCCGTACACCTCGTTCTGTGCCGTCGGGATTCCTATCCTTGGCTTTGTCTGCTTCAAAAGGATTTAAAACAAAGCACGCGACATCTATAATATGTAAATAGTAGAAAAAACGCGATCGCGCTGCCAAAGACGATTCATTTTGGGTGTCCTGCAAGGCTTGGCCGACGGACAAGGCTCGACGGCTCCACAGTTCAAAAAACACCGACGAGGCAGGAACTCATCAACAAGTGGCCTGCCGAGTCCTTGCTCATTCTATGTTATTATTACTAATATAATTACTAACGCTATCAGATTACTACAAAACAAATGAACAGAGAATCACACAGGTACACATCTACAGTCACGCGTTCATCCAGATGCACGTCAATAACAAAAGCTACAAAAACTCATTACAGCCGCCGCCGTTACGGCTGACTATTATGACTGTTGCACCCATTACCCATTGAATTTATTATTCTCTGACAGCTCTTCCATATGTAATATATATATATATATATATATATTATATATATATATATATATATATATAGTCATATATGAATAGAGCGATGGTTATGTGCCGCTACGCCGAGACAGCGAGATCATGTATTGAGAACTCAATAACTTCTATTGCTCTATATCGTATCGATCAATGACTTTTGGAACCCCCGCACCGTGTAAATCTCCCGCCCTAGTTTATACTTGACTTGGAAGGCTTTAACATTATATACATAATGCAAGTGTTGCGGAATGAACGGCCATAAATGTCCTTATTGAAGCTAACGCGGCTGAACTGATACGGAGGGTGACGCATGATCTCTATGAACAGACGAAATTAATTAGAACTGCGCCATATGCGGCAAAACAAAGGAAAGAAGAAGCGAAATACGTTTTATAGTCAAACGTCATGGATTTAGGTGGACGCCCATGAAGCTGTTAGTCGGAGACGTCTTGAACGCCTGAATTTGCTTCAATATGCTTGCCCATGCCATGCCATGCCATGCCTCTCTGCATTGTGATATAGAACACGTTACCACGTCATACACATACTGACATTTACCCCTTTCCTGCCAATGACATCCCCTATACTATGCTCCTAGTGATCAATAATATCGTATCCCGAGTCTGCTCTCTCGTTTGCTAATATATGATGCAAGTGTTGCGGAATCAATGCCCATAAACTTACTGATTGCTTTCTACGACATTGTTTCGACCCGGAAACAAATTTATTGTAACAGGCTCGCTGGATTAGCCTTGAGCTTTTTACACGAAGGCCGAACGGAATACGAAAAAACCTAAATATCGAGAGGTGCGATTGTACGATACCGAAACAAACAAATTGTCCAGACGAGTGAAGGGCAAACGAACAGCATACGCAGAATAGGCTATGAAGAGTAGAAGCTTTACCCACGGGCTCTGTGCCGTAGCTCAAGCCAACAAAAGCAACGATGTGACCGATGATGGCAGTCTTAATGAGGATGATTTACCGCCGCGATATTTAATGCCGACATCTTCAACAGTCCTAGTTAAAACGCGTTTGGCACAATGATCCAAAGGAACGATCGTTAGCGAGAAGAATAGCTCGCTTACGAAAGAAACACTGAAAAGAGAATCGTTCGTTCATAGGTCACAAGGTCATACATACGATGACGACGAGAACAACGTCCTCTGTGTGAAATATGTTTATTCATATAGTATATAAATATATAGAGTACGTATAATTATCACTACTAATATTATTATGACATGGGTGTATCATTCATTTTGAATTTGAAAGCCGTCACTGCAACCTCTATGACGCAGCGAAAAATTCTAAGAAATGATATCTATAGATAGGTCGAAATAGACGTCGGCGAGCAACTGTGCACGGAGAACGATCGATACGGTCACATGTGTAGCAGTCATTCATCCTGAGAGACAAACAGAACTCTGCCTTTAAAGTGAACGTTGCGTGCACGTGGAACGGTTCACACTTAACTTAATAATAACAACGATCATGGCGATAGTAATAATGGACACGAACCGTAGTGATAATGGCGACGGCAACAACAAGACCCATGTACGATTGCTTTTACAGCTGTGAATTTTAATTACCACTAAGCCGGATGGCGACATGAGCATAGGGTAAAAAAGAAGGTAACCGTGACATAGCGTTCGGGCAACAATGGGACTTACTTATTTCCCTGAACAAAAATTAGGTATGTATGTTCTTCGCGTCGGAGTTGAATGGACAGAAGAAGCGAAGCAGGGGGAAGGCAGGCGCACCGTACACGACGTATGGTGGCGGACGGTCAAGGAATAGTTGAATAGAGCGTTACGTTATGAAGAATACGATCATGTCGTCGATTTACTTTGTGGCGAAGATGTACTTGAACGAGCTAGTCACTTCTATCTTATGGTTAGAAACAAACGGTACCCCCGACACTAAAGGCAACGACACCCGTATGCAAGTCGCTGATCAAAAATAACAGCTGTTGTGAAGCGAGTGCAGACGATGCATAGGATTCAGTAATAACGGCCGAATGACGGGAAAACGCATTTTGTCGAGGTGATGATAATATTATTTACTAAATCATATATATATATATATAGTTACGAGCAGCTGAGCAAGATGGTATGATGTAAAACTGAATGTAGTTAAACTTAAAACGATAAATGGGATTTTATTATTAAATTAAATATGTATCATATTTAATATCTCAGCATACTCGACTATATATATACATATATACATATATATATATATATATATATATATATATAGCGAGGCTATTTACCTGGACATTTCTTGGTTTGGTAATTATTAAAACTTACATAGTATTAACAATGAAATATTACTGTTATAAAGCTATATATTAATATTTTCCATATATTAATGCCATACTGCACGTTTGTTTTATGTCTACTATATTTACGAATTTTAACATAATACTGCGATTTTGCCTATGTGGCAGGCTTTCGTTTTCCCATATTATATATAAAAGTAACACAAATGAATAAATCTGTCAGTTTTGAATACGAAAAAGATTTTTGTAAAGTACCTTCCCGCCTCAACAAAGCATCCCTATATTGTAGTAAGAATGAACCCCAATAGGGCAAGACGATTCAAGCCCAGGATGATAACGGTACAAAAGCGTCAGAGAACTACGCCACAAATATTTACCGCACAGCAACGACGCCGAAACAAGCAACATTGATTTGTGCTATAAAATCTTAATGACGTTACTGTTATATAGGAGATAAACAGGAAACAAGCGACATGCGAAGTATCGACAGGAAACGGCCCTATAAACGAGCACCACTCATGTAGGAGATGATAAATCACACGAAAACAATAGCAAATGCGGAACGTCACCACCCGCTCGCCGAACTCAATTGAGGGAATGAACCGTGGAGATATTTTAAGTAAATAAAGTTTATTACTAGTTGCGTTGGTTATTAAATAAACATGCGTTCTCACTAGCAACGTACATGGGCGACAAAAATGTGGACTGTTAATGAATCGGCTGTCGGAGTTCTACATATATCCTGCTACTATTGCTAATATGCTATTTCCTCAGTATCGTTTTGGTACTATATAATGTATGTCAGTCAAAGATCGTTTCTATTAATCCCGTGCGTAACTACTACGGACTAAAAGCGTATCTACAGGCCGGGTTCGAGGATCTCGTAAACAAATAACACTTAGTACATATGTCTAATAGCCTGATGGTAAAGAAGACGCATTTATTGCAGATGCGGTATAGTACCCTGCATCTGGTCAACTGCCATCAAAATCACCTGTAGACCTCCTACATTGGGAAATGCTGAGAATCGTGAATTTGCCCGCCCACCTCCTGTTTGAGTTCAAAGCTTAGATTCTAAAATTAGATACCAACCATTTTGTCAATTTTTCATCTACATCTATATATACAGTCTACATGAAAACTTAGCATAAAAAAAGTAAGGCCAACATATTTCCCCGCCGCAACTAAGGTAACAATATATTAATACTGTGTGTCTCCGGCGATCGATCTGTTCTAGCAGATTTTCTGTACGAATAAGTCAACGAGTCTGCAAACCCAACGACACCAATCTCAAGTTATTTTTCGTATCGATCTGTGAGTTTGACGACTCTCGGGAAAATGGCGGAACGCGCTCGACCGATGTACCGGATATCGCCTGAATAGCTTCTGACAATTCAGACAGCTCGCTGGGCCTTAATGGCAAATACGGGTAAGGCCTGGCAGACGCAACGTAGACTACTGGTTTCGTCCAAGCATACGAATTTTTTTCAGAAATTGGGTGGGAGGCATCACAAATATTCCATTGTTACTCACAACTAC